AGAGAGAGAGAGAGAGAGAGAGAGAGAGAGAGAGAGAGAGAGAGAGATTGATTCTCCCAAAGCAAAGAAAGTCAATACCTACTTTCAATGCTGCTGGGCAAAACAACAACAACAATAACAATACTGGCTGTTGTTTGCTGAGGAGTGTCACTGTCCCAAGAGCTTTACGAGGCAGGCTCATGCCATCCCCTCACCACCAACAATATACCTTATCAGAGCCAGAGTGAAGAAACCGAGCTCAGAGAGGCTAAAGTAGCCAGTCTTAAGCTGCAGATCTAGGACCTGAGGTTTTTATTCTTTATTTAGTCAGAAGGCATTGCTCTAAATTGCTCTATGATGCCCCCTCATAAGATCCTGCTCTGACAAGAAGTTAAGGAAAGTTTTGATTGTCCTGCATCTTTAAGCAGAGTTATTGGGTATCCCCATCCCTCTAATCCCTTTTTATAGATGGTAGTGATAATCCCCCAAATTGACCAGTCCAACTAATGGAGACACACAACATGTGAGGAGGCTGTTTAAGAAGCCTCACGGAGGGCTGGAAGGGCTTATACTCTCATGCCCTGTAATCTGTCCTCTGCTCACACAGATGCAAGGACAATCACCATGCCCTTGGGGAACTGGGACAAGACCAGGGTTCCAGTTTTTTTTTTCTCAATTTCCTGACCCATGCTGGGTGCACAGACACTGTCTTGAGCCCCATCTCCTGACACAACTCTTGCCAAGAGATAATGAATTAGTCCAGAGGATGAAGGGAGGCCAGAACCCAAGGACTCTGCCATTTCCATGAGATGCACCATGGGAACAAACTAAGAGCTGAGTTCAAAGCCTGACACTCACCGAGCTAACATCATTCTGTGACGGGGCGGGGGGGAGCAGAGTCATGTACAGACCTGTGCCTACACTTCAGGGCACAGGCTCTTATGCCAATCTTATGTATAGGGGCCATCTTAGGGCTTCCATTGCTGTGATGAAACACCACGACCAAAAGCAACTTGGAAGGAAAGGGTTTATTTCTCTCAGTTTTATATAACAGTTCATCATCAGAAGTGGTAAGGGCAAGAATTCACACAGGGCAGGATGCTGGAGGTAGGAGCTGATGCAGAAGCCATGGAGGGATGCTGCTTACTGGTTTGCTCCTCGTGGCTTGCTCAGCCTGTTGTTGTTTTTTTTAATAGAACCCAAGACCACCATACTAGGGATGGCACCACCCACAATGAACTGGTGCTTTCCCAGTGATCACTAATTAAGAAAATGCCTTACAGCCAGATCTTCTGGAGGCATTTTCTGAACTGAGGCTCCTTCCTCTCTGATGATTCTAGCTTGTGTCTAGCCAGGACAGAAACTGAGCTCCCAACAGCACTGGCCTCATTTTCTTCAGTCTAGTGGGTGGTAGAACTGGACCAGTGCCAAGGCGCCCTCCTCACTTTATGACCTCCAGGTTCCTGTGTGATGTTCCAAACAGGGTAAGACTGCCTCCTCCTTTCTGAGCAGGCAAGGGAGGGGAAAGTAACTGGAATCACAAAAGAGAAGAACGAAGGGAAAGAGAAAGCTGTCAGCCTTTGAAAGACTGTGTGGTATTGTATGGTACTTAAAATGTATTCATTACCTGACATTAAAGTTTAACTGAACATCCCATATCTTTTCAAAACTGTTTACCCATTCCTTAGTAATTCTACACGTGAATACAATGTTTTTAGGTCATAGTCACTCCCCTTCTCCCATTCCAATGCCTCCCGGAATCTCCCACATACGCATCTCCTCAACTCCATGTCTTCTTTCATTTTTCTAACCCACTGAGTCCAATCAGAGCTGCCCAGATGCTCAATGCTCACAGATATAGGACTCCAGCCACTGTAGCATGGGCAACCTGCCATGGGCTACACTGCCAAAGAAGATAGACTCTTCCTTCCAGAGGCCACTGGCTGCTAATAGCTCTACGGTTCAGTGACAGGCCTCATGAATCCCTTCCCTTTACATACTGGAGTACTGTGTGATTGATGGTCGTGCATGATTGACATTGTGTGATTGACGGTGTGCTGGCAACCACAGCTACTGTGAGGTTGAGTGCATTAGTCACACCATACCCAGAAGACTCCCTAGCCTCTGACTCCTAACAAATATTCTGTCCTCTTGTGTGCCTTGTGCAGGGAGTGACAGGGATGTGCCATTTGGGTCTGAGTATGACATGGTTATTTATTCTCTGCACTCTGGTCAGTCATGAGTCTGTATTTACCATTATGTGCCAAGTATAGATGATTCTCTGTTGAGGGTGAGAGCTGCATCTGAGCATAACCTTCTAAGGTTAAAAACCTAGAAGGCACCATGATACCACATTCCTTTAGCAAACAATAAATAAATAAATAAATAAATAAATAAATAAATAATAGGGGTTTGTTCTATGAGCTCTCCAGTCACGGGTTCTTGGCCAGGTTTACAGTACCAGGTGTGAGCTGCCTCCTGCAGAATAAACTTTGTTCCAATTAGAGCGTGTTGGTCACTCCAATACCATCCATGTCATTATTACCCTGTGGGCATATCTTCCAGGGCTGGCCATTACTGTAGTTCACACCGTACACATCTGGGTAAGATTGTTGATGGCTTTTCTGTGCCATTGGCCTGCATAGCACCTCCTGGCACTATGGAATCTAGCCATCGGGGAGGATGTTTTCGGATCACTACCAGGTTGATTTCTCTGTGTCTTGTGATCAAGGTGTTTGGTGGGGTTTTTGCCTATTCCAGTAAGTCTGGGTAACCAAGAGTGATGACAATCTTCTTACTGTTTTGGGGGTCTCTGGACCCCACACCAACACCAGGACAAAAGGTATCCCACTTCTGGCACTGGAATTTTTGTTTAATTATCTATGGTTTCTGGGAGGAATATTCTGTGTAAGGTAATGCTAATGAAACCTTTTAAATACACATTTTTTAGGAAGTTTATAAAACAGTAGCGTTCATAGAGCTTTTCTTTTCCATATTACTTTTTCAAACATCCCTCTCCCTACATCACCCTGTGCTTCATCTGGCAAGTCTATAATGAAGAATGAGGGGGAGAAGCGAGTGGGAGGAGGGCTGGAGAGATGGCTCAGGGGGTTGTAAGCACTTCCTGATTTACAGAGACCTGAGCTTGTTTCCAGCTCAGACTCAGTACTTCAGCTCTCTCTTCTGGCCTTTATCAGAACTGCACCCATGTACTCAGAAAATAAAAATGAAGTATTTTTAAAATAAATGGGATGGATAAAAATAATTAGGGAGGAAAAGTGGAAGAAAGAAGAATAAGTAGGCCCGAGGAATGCAGCGTGGCAGCACCCACATTTTGGGCAAATCATGTTATGAGAACCTTGGAAGAAAATGGCTGAGCATCAGTGACACAGAGCTGGGGAGAGGGGACCCGCCCTGTGCCCACTGAGGGCAGAGAGTCAGAGGACAGAGTATGGGCTCTTTGCACACTGGGGGCCGAGGAAGCTGAGAGTTGTGGTGTTGGTATGTCTTTGTTAGACTCCCCTCCCCACAGCTGAACAGAGGGACTCACTACCAGAAAGCTGGGACTGTGCCATGCAGGTGTGAAAGAAACCCAAGTTCCTGTTTCCTCTTCCTTCCTTAAGAACCCATTGACATGGAGACAACACCAAGGGGTCATGTCCATCTCCTAGCACATAGTGTAAGAGAACACAAGAGCCACATGAAGTGACAGCAGCGACAGACCTCTAGAGAGATCTAAATCTTCATTGTAAATCTATTGAAGAATTGCTAGGAGCTGGTCGTGGTGGCATATATCTGTCACCTGTCATTTGGGAGGTGGGGACATGAAAAATCAAGAATTCAAGGTCATCTTTAGCTACATAGGCAGCTCCGGGCCAGTCTAGGCTACACAACTATATCCCATGAAACATTCAGAGCACATTTCTAAGATCTACCAGAAACTGGTGGGGCTTGGCCTCCCCCCTTTTTTTTCTTTTTTCTTTTTTCTTTTTCTTTCTTTCTTTCTTTTTTTTTTTTTTTTGTAAATTAGTGTATCCAATACCCATCTCCTGAGGTGACCTAAAAAGAGTCCCGAGGAGGAAAGCAGAGTGACAAGAAGAAACTTCCCAGCAGAGCCTGGGGCACCCCATAGCTT